GACTGCTTACCTCAACACCTCGTCAGTAGTCAGGACCCTGCAGTGCTGTCGTTGACATGCCAAGTGGGTGACAAAACTACTACTACTACTACTACTACTACTACTACTACTACGGCTACGACTACGACGACGACGGCTACTACTACTACTACTACTACTACTACTACTACGACGATGACTACTACTACTACAACGTAGGAGTAGTAGTAGTAGTAGTAGTAGTAGTAGTAGTAGTATATACTACCCATCACCATCACGACGACGACTACTACAACTGCTGCTGCTGCTGCGATTGCGCTGTGTCCTCGACTGCGACGACGGCGACGACGACGGCGACGCCGACGACTACTACTTTTTCTCTTCTTCTTCCGTCGTGATCGTGGCAACTTGAGCACTAGCAGTAGTCGTTGTCGTAGTGGTCAGGGACACCTTAAGTTTGCTTGGACGGACGAACCAGCCCACTCCCGCCGCCCCTCCCCAATCAAGAAGCACGGTAGGAATCAAGATGGCTCCAGAACAGGCTTTGATGGGGCTGTTGGAATGATGGAGTGTGCAGGGATGGAAGCAGTGTTCGTCGCAGGCGGTGATGGTGGGATTAGGCGTCGTCGTGTCGTCGTAGTATTCCACAGTTTTTTTTTCGGCAGCCGGGGGCTGGTTGCATGCGTTCACGTTTCAAGCCAACGGCAGGAAAGCCACTCGTGACGTCGAGCACCCACAGCATCTTGTCACCGCTGGAATGATGTCCGAATGAATAGGAGTTCTCAAACTCACAGTAGCCAGACAATCGCTAAAGGCCCCTGTCGCAAGGTGCAGTGTGCAACGGGCCGAGGAACAGTCCCAGGCGTCGCTGGTTGGCCGCAGATAGCTCTTTGCATGCCTGATGCTTGAATGCTCAAAGACGGAAGTGCAGCTGAGGTTTGGCTCTCGACCAAGTTCCCAAAGATCAAGCAGAACCGCGAGTCTTGGCTGCACAGACCATTACAGACCGCGTGCCTGAAGCTCCGGCTCCTTCGTTTCATTGGCGATAGCAAGCCTCGTCCGTTCACCGCGTTTCCTTGAGGCTTCGGGAGGATCTCGCGAAAGAGACACAGGACCAGGTACATGCTACCAGAAGCCGTCAGGCCAGGCCTTGGCACCAGTCTCCTGGACTTCTCCACAGATAGCCCCAGTGCGGTCCGAGCAGTAGTTTCTGCAGGATCGGCCTCCATTTAAAGTTCGTTGCAACGCCGACCGCAGCGTAGAAGAGGATGTCGGAAAGCCGCACGGCAGCGCAGGCACTAGTCCAGCGGCAGTCCGGGCCCTCGACGAGCAGGCAGGTAGGCATGCGGTAGAGCAGGGGTTCTCGTGCTACCAGCGATAGCAACTATATGTCTCTTTAATGGTCAGGGGGCGTTCATGTCACACCTCTGAAACCTTCTAGCCGCTAGCTTGAATTGATCTGTCGTCGCAGTCCAACAATATTCGATATTGCTTAGGTCAACAGACTCGATTTCCGAGCTCGCTGTTTGTTACACTCACTCGAAACCGGAGATCGTGAACCGGCATCGAAGCGTGTCAGGCATGTTGAGTCGCAGCTGCGGGTCGCTGAGACAGACTCGACGGCTCTGAGAGCTGCGCGGCCAGACCAAGTGGAGTCAAATCTGAATCCATCTGAACAGGCCGGGCCTCTCGAAGCATCGTCCTGGATGTTCCGTGCGAGTGGCAAAGAAGCGCTAACTGCAGGCATCGTGGGATAGACACAGCCGCTTGCCGCCGCCACCGGAACGATGGCTAGAGGCATGTTCTGTTTGGGGTCCGGGGCGAAGAGTCTGGTGCACCGGTTCCATGTGGTTCCGACGAGTCCCTTGAAGCCCTTGAGCTAACAGTGCTGCAGCATTTCTTGAGTACGAGACGGCAAGTGGACATGAAGATGCAACCGGTATCTGCAACGCTCGTGGCTATTCTTCTCACCGTATGTTTAGAAACAGTCCTGTAGGAAATTATGCCAGGATACATCCCCAAACAGTCACAGAGCACCTTGACGACCATGACTTCCACGACGACCGCCGGGACCACAACGACCACCAGACCACGAGCACCAACGACCACAACGAGATCACCAGAAGACCAGCTAAAAAACACAAGTTCACAAGGAGACCACGAGGAGACCTGGGTCATTGTTTTTTATCCTGAAAGTTGGAACCTTGTAGTGTGCACTACACGGTGTGCGGGGGCAGGTTGAAGGCGCCAATAGAAGCTGACACTATTGAGAACAGCAGAGACGTCCTCTGGCCCATCGACTTCCTTTTGCCCATCATAGTCTTGTCCAGCGCGTTCTGATTCTTGTAACTGTACGTTCTATGGCATTCTTTCGATAGTTGTCAAAGACTAGGAACCAAATCCTTCTCAAGGCACAGTCCTTTGCGGAACCCGGGCGCCAGCTCCGGCGTTTGGCAAAGCGGAGAAAAGCCCTCGCCAAGGAGCTGCGAGCGCGGCTGCCGCGCAAAAGCAATTGGTTGATGGGCGGGTTTCAGGGATGGACATCTGGGCAATGTTACGTTTATAGACGAGGATTCAAGCAGCTGCATGGCTTCCGATTCTTGCAGCAGTAATTAAGCATAATTATACTTAAGTCACCTCTCTGCTAGCTCAGGGGCATGAGCGAGCATGTTGGGTCCGAAGCATACTGAAGCGGCTGATTTTTTAGGAACATCCGATGTTGCATATTGAATCTTACGTGTAGGTATATTTCGGTACAAAACGTGCTCAGTATAAGCAGGTGCACAATCGTTTACTGTTTTTTTTTTTCTCTCCCTCTCTCTCTCTCTCTCGTTCATGCGTGCTATAAAAAAGACGAAAGCTCTGTCTCCTTACTCCGAAACTCCGAAATCTCAGAAGAGCCGGTTCGATGAGCTGTGCTGCTCGTAGGACAGAATAGCACTGCTGCAGGTCGATGTATTTCGGAGCGTTATGTACATGCTGTGTTATGTCATGCTAGGTTATGTTGCATTGCGAATATTATGCTATACCGTATTAAATCAAATTATACGAGAACATGTTATACAATACTATACTGGTTTCCATTAATGCCCATCTCGGGTGAGCTTCTCGTTCGTGCTTTGACCAAATGACGATGTCCTGTCAACGGCCCAAAGAAGACTAAGCGCAGAATGCAGGAAGGCTACAACATCGACGCTTTAAGCTGATGAGCTGTAGAGAGTGGTCCGAAGATCTGCCCTGTTTGCAGGCAGGAAGCCGGGAAAGCTGACATAGGAGATCAGGCCATACGAGATCACACCGCGAGAAATAGAAACCAAGCCACGTACCAAACCACGCCTTCTGCATCTGAAGCGGTGCGAACTATGCCCCTGTGGTCCTAGGCACCATATGGAGCAGCACTGTGGCCTCCTCTCCGAGGCCGAGCACCGTAGTCTGTAACCACAAGCTCACCTGTGAAATGCATGGTGCTGTCATGTCATGTGACTCTCATTCCATCTGTTTTCAGCGGCATCTGTCGTTGGCATCAGCTGTGCAACAACCATCAACAACGAGTGTTCAACGGCACGCTTGCCCCTGCCAATGTGCCGCAGAGACCTTTGATCAAGAGGTATTTCGTTCAGTCTTAGTGTACGTCAAAGTGTGCTCATGCAGAAAGGGCCCACAGAAACCCTCAAGGTGGTCAAGCGATTTTCAAGCCTTTGCTCGAGCTTCCTGCCTCCGTGCAGGACTACCGGCGGCTGGCCGGACTAGACACTGAGCCATTTGCTGCACTATGAAGCGCAGTTTGCATCAGCTCGTACTTCGGGTTTGCAGTGGTGCACACACACACATACACGTATGCATGCTTACTGCCACATGCCTGCATGTGTGTATCTACACTTGCTGTGCATCTACTGTACACTTTGGGGTGGGGCCTGTGTTTTGATGTGCAGAGACTCTCAGTCCTTCCAGGCTCCACAAGGTTGTGGCGACACTCCAGAAAGCCTTTGCAACGGAGCACGAGGCGGGTGCGTGCCAGAGCACGCGCACGCGCGCATGAACACAATGCCACACCAGTGATTCGAGGCAGTTGGGCACGGCAGGACGTTCTCATTTTTCATCCACGTGCAAGTGTCATGTGTGCGGGCATTACCTAGACCCGTTGCTTAAAACGCAGCTCCGACATTTCGCGTGCGGAAGCAGCTCAGCACACCCGAGGAACGAATGCTACGTATCGCAAGATGGCAGCTTCTGCAACTCATTGCAACTACCTCGTCCACGTGGCCCACTCACGGCACGCGCTGAAAACACCCTGTGTTATTGCGCCTTACATCTGATGCACTGGTGAGGCACACGGCCAGCAGATGCAATGCGGTGCAAGATGTCAGGAGCTGTTTTCGTTGGCACGGCTGTGAAAAACACCAGGTGAAGCGACAGAAAAATGGGCGGACAAAGCTTTCAAGTCTCCGATGCATCCACCCGCGGGTCCGACAACTCATTCAATCATTGATTCACAGGCACGCAAACATGTGATGAGATGTGCGTGTGTGTGTTAGGTTAGATTCTACATTACTCTACATAGGACTTAAAGAGTACTGGCCGGCATGTGCTCAGAGATGGACCACGTACAAGATGGGCTGGACTTCACCGCATACGGCATCTGCAACCATAGCAAAAATGTATGAGAATTCAGAAGAAAGTGTTTAGTTCAAAGGTCGCGATTTTTGCAGCACGTGCGACGTGAGCTTCTGTAGTATCCAGGCCATGATGCTCAGTGTGAATTCCCGCTCCTTGGCTTCTTTTTATCCGTGCTACGGAATTCGACACGCAGCTTTTGGTGTCCGGTGCTGAGGTGATAGCTGAGCATCACTTGAGCGAAGCGGAAGCCCTGGTGCAGCCCGTCGAATTCACTTGCACGGATGTGAACATCGCATCTGAAGATACCTGAACTTTAAGAAGACCTTCAAAGAAGGCTGCAGGCCTGCATGGGTGCTTCGCCAGTCGGACATGAAAGTCGTGAACGGAGTGTCAACGCAGGAAACTGCCAGACGCCGGCAGCAGATTCCTTGCAAAAGGTCGTGACTGGCACGGGTCCTCATTCTGTGTGCCAGTCAGACAGGTCCGCTCGCGATGTCGACACAGTGAGGCGTTGTTTGAAAAGTTGATGGGCGGCTACAGCTCGACCTCTTCTTACCACTCTTCGAACATAGCACTAACCGTGTGCCGGTTGTTGCATTGAAGCTGAGCAAGCTTGTGCTTCGATAGACGCATCCTGGTGGAAACATCGCGTCCAGCAAATGGGCAGTTAATTCAACATCGGCGTTTTCAGATCAGTGGACCCCCACGTGCTATAATAGTAGGTTGTGCATGGTTTAGCTCCGTCCCTGTTCCAGCACTGCCAACGAATTGGCGTGGAAATCGTGGAGCAGAGGGCTCAGTAGGCTTGCTAGGTGGCGACAGGCTTATGAATCTGGCCAGAGTCGGCTGTATTTGCAATCTGCAGAGAAAGCGAGTCGCTGGATATGAGTATGACTTTCTTGTGCACCGAGTCGGTTCATGTTGCGCGAGGCATAGCTGGCATAGATTTTCGTGTGTAATGTTCGGAAGGCATCGTGGCCGCTCTCGTCCACGCGCTTCGGCAGCCTGCCGAAGGCTGGGACCTGACGCGCAGTCGGTGATGTCTCGCTATCATCGTCGACAGCTTGATGGGTGTACTGCATCTAAGGGCTGTATGAAATGACCAACCCTTGTTCTCTATAAAATGGGTTTTGGGCCATTTCATAGCGGGTCATTTTATCGAGGGGATTGGCTGTGAGAACCCTGGGGGGTCATTCTACAGAGTTCTTGGCTGTTCCTACCAAAATCTAGCACAACTCAGGGAAGTCGTTCTATAGCCAGACGCCGGCCGGGAGGTTTGAAAGACCGACATCGATTGCAGAACCGTGCATTGTCATCTCGATTGTTCCAGGTGACCCCCGGGAGTCATGCTATAGCCCCGCAGGTTTTGTCATGGTATTCTACCGGAAGTTTTGAGAAAACCCCACGGGGACTCACGGCAGTCATTTCATGGTGGCAGACATCCCAGCAACCGTAGCAAGCCTGCTCCCTGAAACTTGCAACACCTTAAACCCCGAACCCTGGGCCTGAAACCAAAAGCGAGTGATGCCGAATGCATCAGACTCTGTCTACATCACGGAGGAAATCCGACGGTAACCCCAGCCAGCCCTGAGCAGGGTACCTCCGCAGGCCATTCTATAGTATGCTCCTGCTTTGCCAGCATCCGGATAGCATCGCTGCGCATGATGTCATCGAGCAACTCAAGCATACAGCAGGTAACCCAGGCAAGTCATTCCATACTGAACATGCTCGTGGATGCCAACCCGCAACCCGGTTTTCTCATTTTATAGACTCAGCGGGTGCCCCGTGAACGATTGGAGGCCATTCTATAGACCTCTAAAATGGGGCCAGGGTATTGGGGTCATAAGGTACCCCTGCACAATATGTACCGGCATATAGCAGCTCACAGGAGGAGGTCCTTGGAGCCTCGTGGTCGGATTGTAGTTGCTGATCTGGAGCAGGGCGAAGGTGCTTCGAATGCGAGGCAGCCTGGGTAAGTATGAACTATAGTTATGTTTTGGCAGCTCTTGATAATCTTCGTGACGGTATTCTTTCGTTGTGTTCAGGGCTCCTGAGTCCATACCAGACCTCAGCCGAGTTCGGGGCAAGATCCGGCAAACGGCTCTAGGGCGCAGATAGGGTTTCGGGATGTTTTGGGTGTGCAAGGTTTATGGATGCTGGTGGGCACCAAAACAGGGTGCCAAACTGGAGCCATTTTTCTTGGCCCGCTCACGACAGAGTCCCAGCGGCCCTGGCCAGTCCTGACACGTTCGCCGACGACATCTCATTCTTGTGTCCAGACTGCCTACGCTTTACCCCTCGCCCCAGCTGAGGCTTTACTTTTGGTAATGTGTAGCGTAAGCAGATGAGAACATGTGAACAGCCCTGGCAGTCGTGCTGGTGGGTGCGCTGACTCCCGACGTCAAACCAGAAAAGGTCGGGCCGGAGCTTCATTCGGCATACTGCTATTCGGAAACTCACCTCGGCAGACTTGACGCGAGGGTATCGGATGTCCAATGACAGCGCCTCACCCCGACTCTGCGTCGCATGTTACTCTTTTGTGGGTGACAGGTGCCTCGGCTGGTCCTGCCAACCTCATGTCGCAGCCTTGCTCGCTTCGCAGCGACGCCCCACAGCTGAATTCGGCAAAGAACCTTCATTTCACAGCTGGCATCCTTCGGTCCCTTTTTTGTTTCGTTTGCAAGGTATTACCCCGACGAGAGGATTTTGTTGCATTTCATGTATCTGAGGTTTCTATCGCTGAACTCGACGTGTCGCGGCGCACCCGATCCGCCGCGGGGCTGCAGCCAACGCTGGTCTTGTACCGAAGATTTTTTGCATTGCATCAGCCTGCAGGCCGTCAAGCCGGCAGCGGATTCGGCGCGTGGCCGCAGTCATTACAGCGGCGCGGCTCAATTGAAACCATGTGACCGCGTGTCTCAAGGTAAGAGGCTCAGAGGATCTCAGAGGCAACTGCGGGCCTTCGAGAGGCGATCAACGATCCTGGACTGGATTCAGCAAGCGCTCTCAGGTTCACCCGCCAAAGTTTTATGCCCTGGTTGGAGGCTCAGCCAATGGTCCACACGTTGCAGTTAGGCCTGGATCTCATGACGTGCGAATGCTAAAACCTATGCTTTGCACAACGTTCTCAGCAACGTATACATCTGGCACATTGAGCTGGTTGCAACATGTTGGATCAGGATGGTGGTCTTGCATTTAAGAGTCGAGTCGTATGTCTTCACTTCGTGAGCGTCCCTTTTTTGCATGGAACCCCGAGTTTGTTCAGACTTCTGATAGTCGTTAGATTCGTAGCATCTTCGTGAACTGGTTAGCCTCTCTCTCCGAGCCGCAGTTGTGACGCAACAGAACAGGGTCTTTTCTTCTATAAATGCATGCCACTCTTTTTGGTGAGATTGCACTCAAAGATCCAATTTCAGTTCGGCACCCATTGTCTTTGGGTAAATCCCCAATAATCAATATGGTTATCAATATGATGACAAGGAAAGACAAGATGGCTTGTGCACGGCCGTGCCGTGAATCATGATTTGGGAAGATACATCTGCAACCAGAGAGTGCGACGACAGAAGAAGAGGCACAGGTCGATGATGGGGGTTTCGCAACTGCTGTTGAAAAATGACGAATGTTAGAAGCAGTATAGAAACGGTCACGTTCAGGCAATGTTCTTGAACGACTGGCAGCGATGCCCAGCGGCGTTTGAAGCTCTTGCAGCTCCCTGGAGCGCAATTATCACTGCATTTTCCTTACTCGTAGCACGGCTCATGGTACTTGCATGTCTTGACGTGGCGCCCGAGGTTTATGTACCTCGGAGACAATTTGGGAGCATTCAGCGGCAGTGTCCCCGAGAATAGCCGAAGCTGGGCTCTGCAGTCACTTAAATGTGTGCGCTCTTCACACTTCAAACAGCAGCATCACGCACGCTTTGCCGATGCATGCTTGCCTCGCACAAAACCGTTGAGGTCGTATTTTCCAGCAATAGTGCCGCTTTGCGGCACCGAGTAAGCGAGCTGGCCTCTCGAAGTTTCAAGTTGTTTCCGAAAGAATCACGGCATCCGCCGTGTGAAACTCCAGATGGCTGAAAGATCCTTCGCTCACGGCAAATAATAAGACTATACAAGCCCGCAAGCTCGTAAGGACTTGGAGCTCTTCCGCGAGGCCATCAACTGCACGGCCCCTGGCATTCAGGAGAGATGCCGCGAAACTTGACGTCGCATCTTCGAGGTGCCGGCACTTGTCCTTGGGTCCAACCGCAAGCATCCTAGCATAGGTTCTCGCAGCAGGGCACGCAGTGACCGTTTGGAAGGCGGGGGGTTATGGTTGACAACGTTTCCACGGTTGGTTTCGGCATATGTTCACAGGTGGTACTATTCTCGAAAGCCGCTTCTGAAGCCACCCCCGAATTGCAGGAGCTCTGGACGCCAGTGGTTGCGAGAGCCCCAAAGATGCTCGGTGAATGAATTCAATAGACTTACTGAGTTGTCAGGTAATGCAAGGTCCGGGTGTGCGCCCATCGATACGTCCTGGCTGAACACGCAAGCAGGGCTGGAAATGTGTTGCAGTATAAGCGTTAAAACCCAGCTCTAGATGTTGTGTAACTCAGGTCGGGATGGCCTGCGGGCAAAGGTTACGGGCAACAAGTCACCGCTGTTCGGCACTAAGCTGCATTTCGCCGAACCGAGGGCCTTGCCGCTGTCTGTGCGCATTCTACTTCGGGTAGCATGCTGACCGAGGCATACAAAAAGTTTTTTGGTCTGGCTGCTGTGATGGACCGTCGGGGAAGCGAGAAGAGTCGCTGCTGCACAGAGTGGGCGACGAGTCAGGACAGATAGCGAAGCGCACAAAGCCACAAGACTTTTTTGAGCGTTTTGACTCTTGATTGCTCGGTACCTCGAGTTCTTGGTCTAGCCGGTCGCACGAGTGGCATCAACATTCTGCATAGCAGCAACATCCCAGGTTCGGCCTGATGCTAGACTCCGAGCTGTCAATTTTCGACTTTTATGCTCCAGCCCGGACGGGCAAGGCGGCGATCGGCTCACGACTGGTTGGTGAGCGTGAGAGTGAGAGAGCCCCCTACGACCAACCCGCCTCCTCAGAGCATCCACCCCCCCCCAAGCACAGGCGCAGCAGGGGGTGCAGCCCACACCACCGACGGCAGACACCCACACCAGAGGCGGCCCACATCCCGGCCGACGCCCCGCAAGAACGGCAGGGGGAAGCAGAGTGCAAAGGGGTCCTAAGACGTTTTGCGTCTCTGTCACTTGGCCGCTTGGCACACGGGGCTTGGGCGGGAGAATGGCTTTACATGTTTCCGCTCACACCCATCACCACAACTGAGACCGCCAACATACGTCATGGCAGTGGGGCGGGGGGACCAGGGTTCTCAAAGACGAAGAAGGGGTGGCTTCCCAGCTCAGACGCGTCGTTTCCCCGTAGAGCAAGCGAGAGGAATCGGTTGAAGAGCGTATTGATTTGAAGGTCGTTTCGCCAAAGTATTTGGTAACCATTCCGTGTAAGTCTTCGGAGGCACAGCATCTGTGTCGAGGAATGAGGTACATGTGGCATCCGTGTTATGCTGAGAGCATGACTTGCTACTGAAGTGCTTCAAACCCTCAAACTAGCAGTGCCTAAAGTTTCTTGGCTT